GGCACATCTATGAACCAGAAGGTGCAAGCTGAGCCTGAGACTATTTCGAATAATTTTGCAACTAATAACATTTCAAGAAACTGAAATAATTCAAAAACAAACATATATAACGCCAATTTCTAGCTCTCAGATTATTCTAAATCCCATAACAAACCGATAATATGAAGATTATTCCTAAGTTTGAAAATATCTAAGCTTTTACTGATAAACTTCTTTGTGTTCTCTCCTTGACACTTTTATCCTGTGCAATCGACACTGCAGAACCTGAGATGGATAGGGTGAAGAAAAGAGGTGAGCATGGCAAACTATTCAGAAACCCACGTAACCTGTGAGACTTGTGAAACTTTCGTTTGTGTCTACAAGCTATATGTGAAAATGCACGAGAGAAGGGACTTTTGGTGCTTAAAACAAAATTGAGTGCCTCTTTGTCTGAACCTAAGGTTGCTGCGACGGAATCATAATCTTTAAGGGCATGATATTTAGGTTTTGACTTGAGGTTATTGGCATTTGGGAGATTGCGGTGTCCGGAAGAGTTTGTTTGGAGAAATTGGAGATGAATAAAGGATAAATTTTAGAGTAGAATATCACGATATTTGTACTGAGAGTGTGAAGAGAAAAGTATTCTTAGTTGTAGAATAAACCAAAGAGAGAAGATTAAAAATTTGGCTTGAAGATAATATATATCAATGTTTTTTAAGAGTCTCTTAAAACCTTGGCATTGTGCCATTGAGATTGCTATCAAATAAATCAATATGGCCTATTGATTGGTTATCACGAAGGTCCAGCCATTCCAATAATGGTGGAGTGAATAACCAAGATGGTATTGTTCCATTGAGATTGTTGTCAAATAAATCAGTGCAATTAATTTTCTTTTCTTAAAACCTTCTGCCTATCAATCTACAATAACAATTCCAAAGTTAACAAATCAAGTTGTTTCTTGCAATTAATGAATATCTGCATAACGTTGGAGGTACCCCAGTGGCAGAAATCGCTCGGTGGTATTGGGCTCCAAATTCAAACATTCTTCTTCTTAGTTACTATGACTTGTCTTATTACCTGAAATCTTTTCTCTTGTACCTTACCATATATCAAAAGAACTAGTAGTACTCCATCAAGTGTGTAATATTATTACCTAAAATTCAGTCCATTTGGATTAAATCTGGAATTAGCTGAGGCCTAATTAGCAATCAAAATTTGGTTCAACAAATCAAGTTGCTAGTACTGCTTCATAGTGACGAAATATGGAATACTGAAGATATTCATGTTGGGATTAAGCAATTACTAATTGTGTTCTAATTGATTGATTACTATAATATTTTTGTAATTAAGATTTTATTGTATTTTCATTACTATATTATTGTATTTCCTTTATTACACTTACAGCCATTTTATACATAGGTTGTTGTACACATTACAAATACAAGCAATACAAAAGTATTATTTTCTCTTTATCTGTTCTTGACATTTTTCAGCACCATTTGCTACTATTGTCAAGTCTTTTCTTTGCTAGCAATCTTCAATAGTGTTCTCTCTCTTATTGCTTCCCTTCCCGTTCAAACTCTGACATAGTATCAAAGCGTTATTGCTTCCGCCTCAACAATTCTCTCTAAGTCGTTGTTCCCAGCACCTGTAAACACAAGGCAGTAAGATTAGTTTTCTTTTCCACCCAAACCCAAATCTGTGAACACAAACCACACCCGACAATGCATCAAACTCAAACCCCATAGCCAAAGATATTAGAGTCCACAGCCACAAATGAGCCACCCCACACAAACCCAATTAACCACACAGGCCCACAACAACGAAACACTCAAACCCACAAACAGGCCCACACTACCAAACCAGATCTAATGCCTAAACCGGTCCAATCCCTTTCGAGTTTATGGGTCAGAATCCTGACCCGACAGGTCAGAATCCCTACCCGATATTCCAAATCCTTCTAGCCACCCAAAATTGACCAAAACTAGGGGATGCCCTTTTCTCACTGATATTGGACGGCTTCGAACTTGTCCTCATGAAACAACCCTTGGCTAAATCTCAAAATTACACCACTTAGGCCAGAGATTTCTGGCGTGCCCTCAAAACCAAAAATAAGGAAAGGTTCATCAATGGAATCCTTCCACAGCCAAATGATTTTCCATTTTCTCAACACTGGACTCGTTGTAGCACCTTAGTCCTTGAGTGGCTTAGCAGATCCTCGACCCAAGAGATTGCTATTGGCCTTCCTCAAACCGAGAATGCCCAAGAAATGGGGGCTAATATTCGCAAAATGTATGGTAAATTAGACCTTGGCAAGATCTTTACTTTATGTAAAAATCTCATTGAGATCAAGCAAAACAATCTACCAATGACTACATATTTCAATCGCCTTTCAGCGATTTGGAATGAGCTTGATTCGGTTGAAGAACCTTTTGAGGGATCCTTCACGATTCTTCACCAGATCAAGAGGGTTAAGGATCAAAATTGCATGATCCATTTTCTTATCGAGTTGAATGACAGCTTTCCGCCATTTTGCACTCAAATGCTTGCTACTTCGCGAGCACCATCTCTCCATCGAACTTATCAATTGGCAGTACAAGACGAAAACCAAAGATCGACTTCGTCTAAATCTCACACAAGTACAGAGGCTATTGCCTTTGCTGTAGCTCCCCAACGATGGCAGTCCATGGGGACTGAAAATAGATCTAAGATTGGAAAAGGGAGCACCAAAAGGCTAGGGAAAATTGGGGGAGAACATTTTAAGTGGCATAATTTTTAGATCCGATGAGTGGTTGCTTGACAAGCACCAGCTCAGTTGCGTCAGACGTCGATGAGTAGAGAGGGTCGCCAAGTTCAGGTCAATTGGGGTTGTTTTGGACAATCTGAAATAATGAGTAGGGATTTTGACCTATGGGGTTGGGTGCTTGACCTATAAATCCGAACGGGTTAGGACCATATTGTTGACCCAAATTTTGACCCGTTTCAAAATTATGATCTTGGTTTGGTTGGGTGGACTGGTTTGATGTTGGTGATGTGATGGGTTGGTTGCTGTCTTTTGGATCCATAAGGGGAGTTTTGATTCAAACAAATTTCTTTGATAAATTCTAGAAATTTTGGAAAAAAAAAAACGTGGCTGACTCAATGTGTTGATCATAGGTTTTGGCAGATTGGCTAAAGGGAATTTGCTATGGAAATTTGGAAAATCGTGGCTGAATTAATGTGTTTGTTGCAGGGTTTGGCAGATTGGCTAAAGGAGATTTATTGGATGAAAGAAACCCAAGTGCTTTGCTTCACAAAATCTGGAAAGTTGGCTAGAGAGGATTAATAATGCGGAAGTAAGAAATTAGCAAGATTGCTCTAATACCATGTCAGAATGTGAGGTGGGTGTGACTCCTCACCTAATAAGGCTTTGTTAAATGGGAGGATTACCCCCTCTTATAACCCAGTAGACTTGAGCGTGCCTAGTTGGTACAGGACTCCAACACTCTCCCTCACGGTCAAGCCCATATGTTGGATCATGCTTGTTAATAAAGATAGTTACTGGCTCTAATTCCTCACCCGCTGGTCAAGCACTCAGCTGATAGAAATAGAATAAATTAAAACAAAATTTCTAGTTTCTTGCAAAATAATCATTTTATTGAGATTTCCTATATTAATGTCACTTAACTATTACCACCATGATATCGCTTTGATTCAGATTTAATATATAAGTAGGGTGAAGTCATTAAATCATATGGGTACTCACCCAAAATTATTAATTCTATTACATATATACGCGTTGTACAATAGGGGGTGATATGGGCAACAAACTTCTTCAATTTTTTCATTTCTAGGCTGAACATCCTTAGATGACCACTTTATATTAGTATTGTTTATGCTTCTTAGGGAAAGTCGGTAGAAGAGTTTTTTTTTTTTTTTTTCTTCTTTTTTTAATGATCAGAGTATCTGAGTCAACTTACACACACTTCAACTAATCTTTGAGACCCATTAAACACCCTACAAGTCCAATATTCCAAGGTAAGCCACAAATGTGGTAGGTAGTTCCATTGTGGTTCAAACCTAAGAAATCAATGAAGGGAGTAAACTTTCTTGACCGTCAGGCCAACCCCTTCGGGTTTGATAGAAGAGTATTTATTCATCACCATCTAGTTTTAGATATCAATGAATAGAGTGCATGTGCATGTTAGCTAGGAGATTAAAGATGGTGTAAGTCCAACACTTCTAAAATAATTTAATTAGCTTGTATCAAGTCTTGGTCTACTAACAATGTATAATGTATACATTTCAATTTTCACATTCTTATTGACAAATACCATTTGTTTTATATAGAGAAACAAAGCTTGGAATGTTAGAAATCACTTTCTTAGTTGTAATTTTCTTCTCTCTAGTGTATGCTTTGCATTTAGATGTACTAATTTAAACATAAGTCACAGGCCATTGCCAAACTGCATCAGTGATAAACATGTGATGACAGATGTTTCCCCGAAAGATCAACGTTGTTCACTTAATAATTATGTGAACTACTAATGATCCTCTGATGAACTAAAAGCAGAGTAAAATTTGACACTAATATTTATCAAGTTGTAATTTAAATATTTTGAGATTTAACTTGTGATGAATATATTTGGTATTTAATTTTGTTAAAATTAAAGTCAATATTGTTAATAGTAAAGTGGAAACTTGTTTATTAATAGTTAAAGAAGACGCAAGATGAACTAAAAAGGGGAGGTGGAGAAGAAGTGTGTGGTGGTTGTGGTGGGAGAGTAAAAGGGAGAGAGAAAAACTTCAACATCAAGACAATGAAGGGATAGTAAAAGATAGCTAGCAGTGAAGGAACAAGCCCACCTACTATCACACCACCATTAATTCCATTTCCATTTCTCTCTTTAATTTCATTCCTTTTTAACCTCCTCTTTTTTCATTCCACTTCTCTCTTACACTAACACAATACATAGAAGATAAAAAGAAAAAAAAAAGGTACAACACATATGGAGTCAACACTCTTAACAAAGTTGAAAGCACTAACCTCTTCTACCCCCACGTTTCTTGTTTGGCCTTCTCCCCTTTTTACGGTGTTCTCCCTCAACTATCCTTATAAGCCACTGAGGCTTTCCTGTTGAAAATACAAGATATCCCATGATCAATCCAAAAACCATTCCACATCCGTAGCCTATCAACACCACTTTCCAACCGAATCCAATTGAAGACTTTGCATCATCTTCTAATTTTGAGGGTGGTTGTAGTGTCTCATCACTTCTGCATTCTTTTGACAATGGAAATCTACACAATCCCAAGTTTCCCAAGTATGAAGTATTTCCAAAGGTATCAAAGTGGGGTGCTCTTGGAATGGGCCCCATGAGTTGGTTTTCAGACAAGTTTAGCACTCCAAGAAAATCTAAATTTGTCAACTGCCATGGAATTTTTCCGACAAGCTTGTTTGAAGAAAGATCTAATGATTCAAGGACACTCAAATTTCCAAGTGATGATGGGATACAACTTGATACTTTGTTAAAAGAAAGATTGAGGTATAGAAGTGAATCAAGCTCTCCAATTACTTTTGGAATCTCTCCATAAAAGTAATTATTTGAAAAATCAATGGCAGTGAAAGCAGTAATAATTCTCACTAGCTCAAACTCAAACCCTTTCATTGTCACTGTAATGGAATCTTGATGAAAACCTTCACCCATATATTGCAACTCTGTCCCAGCTTCACTAACATCCTTCATGGCGTTAAGATTTTCAAAATACCAGGCTGGCAATGGACCACCAAATCTGTTGTTTGAGAGGTCAAATACTTTTAACTTAGGAAAACAATGCTTCGTCTTTGAGCAAACCCACACAGAGCTGTAAAATTGATTTGAATGAAGGACAAGAACTTGCAATTCAGGAAGAGTTTCTAGCCAACATGGGAAGCTATCATTTACCTTGTTGTTACCAACATCTAGAACTTGAAGCATTGTACAATTGACCAAACATCGTGGGATTGGCCCTTCCAATTCATTCTCATTGAAGTTAAGGGTCCTCAAAGGACTGCCCTTTGCAAATTTCCCTGGAATGGTGCCATAAAGCTTATTTTTCTGCAAATCTAACACATGAAGATTGCTAAAGCTTCCCATGCATGTTGGAATTTTACCACTCAAACTATTATTAGAAAGATCTAGAATTTGTATGGCACTCATATTGCAGATCATATGAGGTATCTCCCAATCAATTTGTTGTTTGACAACAACAACACTGTCAAGAAAGGTGGTGGAGTCGGAATTGGCCCTTGGAGCTTGTTCGAATTAAGGTCTAGAATATCAAGATTCTTCCAAGGAAGTTGCTTGATGCCGGTCAGGTTATTGTGGGAAAGATTTAGAAAGGACAAAGTATCCTTTCCAATGTCCCACATCCAATTAGGTATTTGACCATTGATTTTATTGTCAAAAAGATCTAGTTGCTGTAATCGATTTACAGTTCTTAAGATACCTGGGAATTCTATCAAGTTGCAACCTGATAAAAGCAACCACTGAAGTTGTGCAAAGGAAGAGTTGGCTTTGAATGTAGTGTTAACTAATAGACTATTATAAGAAAGATCAAGAAATTCAAGGTTTTTTTAGCTTTGAGAACAAGTGAAGCTCTACAATTCCACTTAAGTTGTTTGAAGAAAGTCCGAGATCGGTTAAATTCACAAGTTCAAAGATTGAACCTGGAATAGAGCCATGCAGTCTATTATGATCCAAATAAATGGTTTGCAATAGTGGTAGAGTGAATAACCAAGATGGTATTGTGCCACTAAGATTGTTGGTAGAGAAACTAATACAAGCTAAATTCTGAAGGACATTGACACAAGAAGGAATTGGACCAGTGAGTTGATTACTTGTCAATGATAAAAAAGAAAGTTGCGTTAAGTTGACAAAAATGTCAGGAAATTCACCAATAATGTTATTGTAGGAAAGATCTAGAAAACGAAGATTGGCAAGATTTGAAAGAAGTGACGGGATATGAGCATTGAATTTGTTAGACGACATACTCAAATAAGCAAGTTGTGTAAGGTTGCCAACTGAGGTAGGAATTGACCCAACAATATTGCAGTTATAAAGGGACAAATGGCTTAATGACATGAGATTGCCAATTGAATTAGGTAATTGTTTCGACAAACTCATATCAGAGACATCCAAGATCTTGAGTGGGCTGCTCCAATTAACTTTGGGAAAGTTACCTGTCAAGTTGAAGTTACCTCCTAACAAAAGGATCTGTAGATTTGGTAGGCGAAATAAGCGTTCTGGCACGTTCCCTTGCAGTTCACACCCCCAGAGACTTAGAGAAATTAGAGATGAAGATAGATTCATCAATGAACTAGTTACGATGGTAGACATGTCCACATCTTCAAGAGCAAGGTCTGTTAACATAGTCAAATTTTGAACTAGCCTTTCCAAAACAACTTTTTGAATTCTCAGTCGGTTCTCAATGGAATAATAATTTCGTGAGAGGTCAAGTGAGACCAATTTAGACAAATGAGAGATTTCAGATGGAATTTGACCTCCAAAGTTTGAGGCAGAGAGATTAAGGTGTGTCAAACTGGTCAATCGACCAAAATCAGAAGAAACTTGAGAGAGATTAAAATTATTGTAAGCAAGATTGAGTCTTTTCAATTGAGGAAGAAGAACGAGGGTAATGTTGGAAGGAATGTTGCCAGAAAGCCAACTACAACTAAGGTCCAGGCCAATGACATGACTTGTCATCAAATCACATGTGACACCATCCCATGAGCAACAACTATAATTCTTTTTCCAAGACATCATTTTTGGATAAGAAGAATCATCACAAAGTAAGGAGGAATAACTTGTGAAGGAAAAGAGTTGCTTGAAGTGGAGTAATGCAGAGCTATCGCGATGAGAGCAGAGTGTTGCACAAGTTTGAGAATAGAAGAGAAATAATTGGAGGATGACAAGTTGATAAGACNGTTCTGGCACGTTCCCTCGTAGGTCACACCCCCAGAGACTCAAAGAAGTTAGAGACGCAGATATATTCGTCAATGAACTTGTTATGATGGTAGACATGTCGATAAAGTCAAGAGAAATGTCTGTTAACATGGTCAGATTTTGAACTAGCATTTCAAAAATAGGTCTTTCAATTGTCAGATGGTTCTTAAGGGAGTAATGATTCCATGAGAGGTCAAGTGAGACCAATTTAGACAAATGGGAGATTTCAGATGAAATTTGACCACTAAAGTTTGAGGCAGTGAGATCAAGGTGTGTCAAATTGGTTAATCGACCAAAACCAGAAGAAACTTGAGAGAGATTAAAATCATTGTAAGATAGATTGAGTCTTTTCAATTGAAGAAGAAGAAAGAGGGTAGTGTTGGAAGGGATGCTGCCAGAAAGCAAACTACAACTAAGGTCAAGGCCAATCACATAACCCGTGACTGTATCACATGTGACACCATCCCATGAGCAACAATCATTATCCTCTTTCCAAGACATCATTTTTGGATAAGAAAAATCATCACAAACTAAGGAGGAATAACTTGTGAAGGAAAAGACTTGCTTGAAGTGGAGTAATGCAGAACTTTGGTGATGAGAGCAGAGTGTTGCACAAGTTTGAGAATAGAAGAGACATAATTGAGGAAGACAAGTTGATAAGACCATGCTAGAGAACCCATTTTTCTTTATGATGAATCACAAGAAACAATATGATTATAAATAGAAGAGAAATGGAGGGTCACTATTGCAGAAATTAATTTTTTAAGTCTTTTTACTAGTTGAATGATCAATATTGAAATAATGTAATTAATTTAAGTAGAAAATCACAGGTATGCTGAAGAAAAAGTCTTAAGATGCTGTAATTATATATCCTAACCAAAGCTTTCATCTTTGGCTATAATCTTCATGACATTTTTTCTACAGAAATTAATGACAAACATAAGATTAATGTATCTAAAGAGACTTGAGTATTGACTAATTTCCATCATCTAAGTACATTTGACACCATAAAATTAAATATTTGAGAAACAATTCTACCTAAATCAATTATTGCATGATCAGAAAATTAGCAAGTAGCACAGGACTCACTTATTATACCAACAAAATTTCAACATTCAACTAACATGGGGCCTTATATGGAGAGCAAGTAGACAGAGAAATTAATGACTATGATGTTATGACCATAAGTTTTAAGGACTATCTATGTCATATATTATTTTCACTCTCATTCGTAAGACTACTCTACCATTAATATGGCACCAAGACTTGGTCCTTGCTTTGAATAATCCAAGAAACATTAAAAGAACATTCTATGATCTCAACGACGCCGCCAACCAATGATGTTTTTATAATACAAGAAAATACCAATGTCTAGATTGCTATTTGCACATACGTATAGATACTCAATTTTACGAAGATTGTTAACTTTTCCAATTAATATGGCAAAGATGGGAACTTCAAGTATAGTGAAAAACCACATCGTTGGTACATTTTCTCTCAAAATAATGTGAGCCAGTTGATCCTCACTAAACTGTGACATTTACTTTCAAACTGTAACATTTATCGTTAGTTAACAGACAAAAATAGCAGTCAGAAAATGGTCACATTCTGGTTAGGTGACGGTTGTTATTGCCATTAGTTAAAGTCCCTTATTTTAATTGTCAAACGATTATAACTACTGACACAATACATACAAGATAAAAAAAAAAAAAAAAGTACAACCATATATAGTCACACTCTTAACAAAGTTGAAAGCACTAACCTCTTCTTCCTCCACGTTTCTTGTTCAGCCTCTCCCCTTTCTACCGTGTTCTCTCTCGACTATCCTTCAAGCCACTGAGGCTTTCTTGTTGAAAATACAAGATATCCCATGATTAATCCAAAACCATTCCACATCCATAGCCTATCAACACCGCTTTCAAACCGAATCCAATTGAAGACTCTGCATCATCTTCTAATTTTGAGGGTGTTGTAGTGTCTCATCACTTTTGCATTCTTTGACATGGAAATCCACACAATCCCAAGTTTCCCGCGTATGAAGTATTTCCAAAGTACCAAGTGGGGTGCTCGTGGAATGGGCCCCATGAGTTGGTTTTGAGACAAGTTCAACGCTCCAAGGAAATCTAAATTTGTCAACTGCGTGAATTTCCGACAAGCTTGTTTGAAGAAAGACCTAAGGATTCAAGGCATCTCAATTTCCAGTGATGATGGGATACAACCTGTTAATTTGTTTAAAGAAAGATTGAGGTATAGAAGTATGAACTCTCCAATTACTTTTGGAATCTCTCCATAGAAGTTATTATTTGAAAAATCAATGGCAGTGAAAGCGTGATAATTTTCACTAGCTCAAACTCATACTTTTCATTCATTGTCACTGTAATGGAATCTTGATAATACACTTCACCTATATATGCAACTTTCTCTCTGCTTCACTAACATCCTTCATGGCATTAAGATTTTTGAAATACCTGTTGCAATGACCAGGCATGGCAATGGGCGGGGATCTCATTCACCGTACCCATCCCCACCCTCAAAATCATTCCCATCCCGTTACGGGGATGACAGAATTCCCCTTCCCTGCCCCAAAGGGAGAGTTGGAGGTTCATCCTCGCCCCGTTAATTTTTATAAAACATAAATTAATTTGAGTATTACCAAACACAATAGTTAATTCTCGTCCATATGACAAACACTTAAATAATCGTTTAAGCATAATTAATATACATAACATATGGGTCAAGGTTTGTTCTTGTTCAATGTTTAGGGTGAGCAAATTAGGAAAATATGGGTTTATATAGTGGATAATTGTGTAATTAGGTAAATATGGGATATTATTGAAAAGTAAATATCATATACATTTTTTTAATTTATATATTATATACGGGGCGGGGCGGGGGAAAGGCATCACCCACCCCCCGCCCCATCCCAAGGACGGGACTTAAAACACCCCCCACCCCCCGCCCCTATCCTTAAAAAATCGGGGCTTCCCCGCCCCATATGATGGGGCGGGACGGTCCCCGAAATCCTGGGGAACATTGCCATGCCTATGGACCACCAAATTTGTTGTTTGAGAGTCAAATACTTTCAACTTAGGAAAACAGTGCTTCATCTTTGAGCAGCCCCATTTGAACCATAAAATTGATTTGAATGAAGGACAAGAACTTGCACGAGGAAGACTTTCTAGCCAATATGGGAAGTATCATTTACCTTTTTGTTACCAATATCTAGAACTTGAAGCATTGTACAATTGACTAGAGATTGTGGATTGGCCCTTCTAATCTGTTGTCATTGAAGTTAATGGTCCTCAATAGAACTGCCCTTAACAAATGTTGCAGGAATGGTGCCATAAAGTCCTATTTTTCCGCAAATCCAACACATGAGATTGCTAAAGCTTCCCATGCATGTTGGAATTTTACCACTCAAACTATTAGAAGATCTAGATATTATGGAACTTATATTGTGATCATATGAGGTATCTCCCAGTCATTTGTTGTTTGACAACAAATAAAGTTTAAATAGGTGTGGAATGGGAAGCGTCCGTGGAGCAAGTTGAACCGAAGGTCTAGATATACAAGATTCTCCAGGGAAGTCTGTCTATGCCGTCAGGTTGTTGTGGGAAGATTTAGAAGGAACAGGTATCCTTTCCAATGTCCCACATCCAATTAGGTAATTGACCACTTATTTTATTGTTAGAAAGTCTAGTTGCTGTAATTGATTTGCACTTCTTAAGATACTGGGAATTCTATCAAGTTGCAATCGATAACCTCAACGAAAAAAAGTTGTGGAAATGATGAGTTGGCTTTGCCTACAGGTAATTGATAGACTATGTGAGAAAGTCAGATTCTGAAGGTTTTTCAAATTTGAGAACAAGTGAAGCTCTACAATTCCACATAAATTGTTTGAAGAAAGTCTGGATCGGTTAAATTCACAGTTCAAAGATTGAACTTGGAATAGAGCCATTCAGTTTATTATCATCCAATCAATAGTTTGCAATAATGGTAGAGTGAATAACCAAGATGGTATTGTGCCATCGAGATTGTTACTAAATAAGAAAATTCAACTAAATTTTGAAGGCCATTGACATGAGAAGAATTGGACCACTAAGTTGATTCTTGACAAGTATAAATAAGAAAGTTGTGTTAAGTTGACAAAAACTGGAAATTCCAACAATAAATTATTGTTGGAAAGATCTAGACACCAAGATTGGCAAGGTTCGAAAGAAGTGATGGGATGACAATTGAATTTTTTATTTGACAGACTCAAATAAGCAGTTTGTAAGTTGCCAAGTGAGCAGGAACTGACCAGTGAGAGTGCAGTTATGGAGATCAATTCCCTCAAGAAAAGAGATTGCCGATTGAATTAGGTAATTGTTCTGACAAGCTCATGTCAAGAGATCTAAAAGCTTGAGTGGGTGCTCCAATTAACTTTGAAAAGTTACCTGTCAAGTTGAAGTTACCTCCTAACCAAAGGTTCTTCATATTTGTAGCGAAAGATGCGTTCAATCTTTTCTCTAAATCTTGATTAATTAATTGTTCCGATAAAATTAAAGATTCGAACTTTTTGATCCCCCTTATTATGTAATTCACAATTTCCGGACTTCTTTTTATTTAAAAATCTATTATTATCAAGAAGATGAAGAAGAAGAAGAAGAAAAGAGTTGCAGAAAAGATGATCAGAGAAACGAAAGAAGAAAGCTTCCAAGAAAAAGGTTCTTCGTACTGATTTTTCATATTTCAGTTCGATTTAGATTTTTGTATTAAGCACGCATGCATTCATGCATTCTGGCTTTTCAAATAAGATATAGTTTATAATTAGCGTGAGGTATAATTTGTTAATGTTAACCTTGGCATGATTAGAATATTATAATCAAGAAATTACTTCTTTTCATGATATAACTTCAACTTTGATTCAATTAGTTAGAATATGAACCTATAATATCATTAAAAAAAAATTCACCAGGGTTTGACAAAACTAGTAGAAATTCAATATTAAGATACTGATTACTTGTTGAAATATAATTAAATAGTTGTATTTTATTGCTTGTTTCCAGCTAATTAAATCAATAATATTAGGATACTGATTAATAATTAGTTAATTGTTTAGATATTGATGCCAGGATTTAATTAAAAATTCCCATATAATATTACATTAAAGAGCGAAATAGTCAAATAGATTCTCCCTCCCCCCCCCCCCTCCCGGTTGTTTTACTTTTCAAATCTCTATTATATTATCCCATCCTATTGTAAACAGTAAAAAACGTGTTTGTTTTAATATTGACAAAATTCAATTCAAAAGCCAATTATATTCTATTCAACTCAAAATATTCAATTACCTTTTATAATAAAAATTTATAAATTAACAAAAAACTCAAAACATACAGTTACCTCCACCCACCCAAGCCACTGTCGGCCACCATCAACCATCGCCAGTCACTGCCACCATCGGCCGTGGGCATCAGAATGATGCACAATCGGTCGCATTTGGCCGATCGTACAGTTTCCAGCTA